TCTAATTAAATATTTCATCAACAAAACCATTTTGGCAAAAGAGAGTTAAAATTATGCTTTCCATTCACCACTAAAGGGCAGTAACCAAATGTCTACACACAGTCTGAACAAAGTTTATATCACAATAATGGCCTCATCGCCAGGAGGTTTATAGTTCTTACAGTGTCTTTAATCGACAGTTTTTGCATCTAATCTTAACTTTCCGGAAGCTGAGAGGCACCTGAACTAAATATCACCTGTTAAGTGGTACATTCATTACCATTCTGCTTTGAAGTTCTGTGATAAGTTGGCATTTGTGTAACACGAGATGACAAATCCGCGACACACCGCCAGTTATTACCCATTTTTACTTCAAGTTTTTATCGCCTAAATCTGGCCTCACCTGTTGGTATTTGTAGTGCTGGAAGAGGAACCTGCTGACAGAATGGTGATGGAACCTGTCTATTGCAAGAGACTATGATCCATAAATGAATGCAGAATTGCTCACATTTTTAAGCGAGAATATGCTTTTATCGCGTAATATTTCTTTTTTCATTTGCCTTGAGGAAACAGTATGTAGCTTTGGTTCTTGCTGTGCTTGTTTTAAGGTATCATCGTCCGTAGCATAGCAGCCTCTAATATCATGAACAGATGAAGATTAGTAACAGCATCCTAGAGATGAAATGTTTAATATTTGGGGTTGGTGGGGGCTGGGATACTTGTGAGGCACAGAATATCTCAGTGAGTGATTGACTGAGTGAGTGAGTGATTGAGTGAGTGAGTGAGTGAGTGAGGAGTTGTCTTGTGCAAGAATTGTGAGTGAGTGAGTGAGTGTTATAGTGTTATATCACTGAGTGAGTGAGTGAGTGAGTGAGTGAGTGAGTGAGTGAGTGAGTGAGTGAGTGAGTGAGTGAGAGTGAAAGCTGTTACACCAGTTATATCACTGTAGGTTGTCTTGTGCAAGTTTGTTTGCAAGTTTTGTTTGGCAGACAGAAGGAACATGTTAAAAACAACACTCAGCCAGGCCACTGTTACCAGTCTCACACTCAGCACAAACTGTTACCATCCAATCCCCAGTCAGGGTCCCATCGTTTTCAAACACTATAATTCTCCACAGGAGACAATCCAATGAGTAAGTGAGTTTGGATCAGTACTGCTTTGGACAGTATTTCCATAATATCAAAGCATGTCAGCTTGAAAAGGGAAAAAAGGGATGCAGCCCTACTCTACCCCACATCCCACCCCCAACAAATAAAGACTTGAGTGAGTGAGTGAGTTTGGATCAATACTGCTGTGGACAGTGTTTCTGTAATATTAAAGCATGTCAGCTTGAAAGTACAGATATGGCCCTCGTGATGCAGGTCTAGGACATTTAGCACATTAATGAGCCCCCAGCACACTCCCATGACTCGAGGTCATGTTCAACCATTCATTACATCCAAAGGCATCTCCTGCACCTCAATACATCCCCTTAGCAACAACCACTGCACCAAGTTCAGCACAACTTCTCCAATATCATGGTAACAATCTCGCCGGAGTTGCACCCTGAGGCTGCACCAGCTGCCTCTGTCTCCCCATCCCATCCATCCATCCAATAAACATATCAACCAGGAATAACATCGGCATTATGACTGAAGAGGTGCTGTGTGATAATAACCGTATTCCACATGCAAGACCGTGCTAGTCAGCGTTCAACATGACATTCCCATGTCTGCAGTAATCCTGATAGCGCCAATGGCTTGACTCTGTGCATGGTCTTTGATAGGATTCTAGCATGAGATGCATGTCAGGATCTAATTAAGATACTGATACTGCAGACATACTCGTCTGGAGAAGGATGGGTATATTTCACGATTTGGCATTCATGGACCATAACTGTGTGTTTTTGTAGAATATACACCACCTAATGAGTAATGTATATACTGACTCCTGGTATACACCGGCCCAATATCAGAACATATAAATGCTTAATAAGCTTCAAAAGGAGGAGTGCGCCTCCCAGCGCCATTCTCCGTATCTGTGATGTCATGACTGCTGTGAGCCAGTTCCACAGGTCAGGCCAACATTACGCTTCTCAAGTTCATAAGCATGATAAACATTTATGTCGGTTCACAGACGAACAACCTTTAATGCTGGCTGTATAGATATTACTCCACGTTTGATAATAATACTCTGAATATCTAGGTTGTTGGAATGGTTTGGAAGAGTTGCTACACAAATAGTATCTGGAGTGGGACTGCATCATGATCAGTTTTATTTCAAGGTATTTAAACAAAAGAACATGATTTAATAATACTTGGTTGAATATTTTTGTGAAAGGACAAAAAATCCACGTTGAGTAGTACACATTTTGGTTTTCAGCCTCCAGTCTATTTATAAGTTTCTATCAATTCTTATTCTAGAGAGAAAGAGAGCCCTTCTACTTAACTGAATTACCCATTTGTATAGTTAAAGAAAACTTAAATATTTTTCATTCAATACATGGAAGCCTTTTCTCTCATTGTTATTACAAAATATGTTTTGCTTGTTTGTTTTGTAGTTTGTTTCTTGTTTAACGCACGCCCACCATTAAATAATTATCAGGACTAGACAATCCAGTGATGGCCAACATGAGCATCGATCTACGCAAACGGGATGCGATAACATATGTCAACAAAGTCACCAATCCTGAAGACCGACCCTGTTAGTGGCGTCTTACAACAAGCATGGGTTACTGAAGATCAATTCTAACCTGGATCTTCAAGGGAGTCATATGTGAGTTTATGACATGTCGAAGAACACATTTGGCTGAAATGAATCCTGTTTAAAGAATCTCTGATGAGGAGTAATGTTCCTGAGGTGTACATCTAAATCTGATTGTCACAAACACAACAAATACAAATGCTAGCTGGACAATGCCATCATCTCTTTCATATTTCAACACAAGTTTATAACTTCAAAAATTTTGACATTTCCAAAACATTGTCATTATCAATTCTTAAAGGTAAGAATCAGCTTGACCCTTAAAGTTTAGTATATCACAAATCATATGAGTGTGCTGAATTTATGAACCTAAGATGCAAGGAAATATTGTTTATTTACATAAATCAGCTTATTTACATACATGTACCTAAATCACCATCAAACCAAAATATAACGATCATCTTGCAACTACCCTAAGTTCAGATAAACAATAAAACATGGTACAATATTAGGAAACACTATGAAATTAAAGTTATTAGGAAAATATCATCCCCTGGTGCACCAATATCCAATACATATTGAGTATTTATCTAGTGTAACCATATTCTCATGAACGTACTTGGAACATGCTCTTTATCACTCTGTCTCAACTAAGATTTCAACCAAATACATTCCTGAGCATCTGATCCTCGAATCCCAACACCTCATGCGGATACCAAAAACAATCTTCTTTAGTGGTTCCAACACCCAAACTGATTTCCCGATTCCCCGCCCTGTCAAAATATTGTCGGACAATCTTAGAAAAACTTCATAAATAATTGAGTAAACTGGTGAGATGACCCCCACAGAATCTGGCCAATGGGCCGGAAGCATGCTGCTTGACATTGTTTTCCTAAAGACTTCCATATTTCCAATTTTGCTGAAATCTTTGCTTTGTATAAGGAGTAATTATTCCCTAATGTTAAACACCTATTGAGAGACAATCCAACCTGCTACAGGTGCTGTACATATGGTTGGTAGACAATAGACGCAGACACCATCTAATGGAGAATGACCTTCCCAAGGTCATTGGCTTGTTGACTTAAGGAATTCTTTCTTGCATTAATGACACCAAATGTGAACCACTATTTTAAACAATTGCTCATTTTTCAGGCTGAAATATTTTGCTGTGGTCTGCGGTTTGCTGATGTGATTTGTGTTATGTCTAGATTTACTTGGCTGTGTAAACTGGTTTTAATGTATGTTCCAGAAGACGATGCCGATATCGGTTACCTATTATATCAACATAGCCTCAAAAATAGATGAAGACAGCTAACTCTTTAAGCATCCTATTTGAACAGGAACAGGCTCGTCAGAAAGAGGAGAAATGTAGGGGTACTTACAATTCTTTCCAACTTTTGAAGGATCTGTTAACAGGCTATTTGTCTGCTAGTTTTTAAAGCCTTCAAGTCATTATCTCATATGTATCTTGCAAATTAGAGTTGTTTAGTCCCCAGTATTTTAGCACTTGCATGTTTCGTCAAAAATAGGCAGTTGGCAGGAGTCCACATATATTAAGCCAGACAGTGTTCATTTTAGTTGGTCAGGCTCGCTGACATGGTTGACACATGTCATCGTATCCCAATTGCATAGATCAATGTTAATGCTGCTGATCACTGGTTTGTCTGGTCCAGACTCGATTATTTACAGCCCGCTGACATATAGCTGGAATTTTGCCGAGTGTGGCGTAAAACTAAACTCACTCACTCACTCATTTTAGTTGCATTAACCATGGGGACCATTTTAGGCTATGTGTGACCAAAAATGAGGCCATTTTCATAAAGGGGGCAATTTCAAAATGGGCATCACTTTCATAAAAAGGTTTGTTTGGGTTTCCTGTGCTGTAATCACAGGTATAGACAAATCTTGCGGTTCATTTTTTATCTAAACATACACATTGACAAATGCTTGTGTCATGAGCTAAATATGAGAACTGGGTGACAAAGAGGCAGGACTATTGCAAAGTTTACGGAAAGCCCACAATTTAACTAACCATTTGGTTTGGTTTCATACATAATTTACAGTAATTCTATTATGATTTTTCACAATATTTTTTCATTTTTCATTCATTTCATATGCAGTCTTTAGTGAATGACTGTGTCAGGCTTAAAAAAATATTTCACCAGTTCCAAGTTCATTAGAACAGAGATGTTTACCATTTTGGTGAAGTCTGTGATTGAATGTATAATATTGTTACAGAGACTAAAGATCCCTCACAGCACATGTGGGATTTGAACCCATGACACACAGATCCTGGTACGGCTAAGGGAGGTAACTGTGTATAACAAAATGGTACTCACCATCGCCATGAGTGTAAGCACATAGTGCTTCAAGTCCTCCTTGTGATAACGCCTCATGGAATCATCCACTACAACTAAAGTCTCCACGAATCTCTTTAAAGATGCTGATCGCTTCCGTCGCTTGTGGTATATAGAATTGTCATTATTTTTATTATTTTCATAATTATTATTATTTACATTATAAGATGATGATGATTGTGATGTTGAGTATCTTCGTATAGTGTCTCTCTTTAATCTCTGGTGTTTATAATTTTCTGAAACAAAGAGAAAAAAGAATTAATTCATAGTTAGTTAATTACTGCATTATAAATACCCATTCATCATAATAAAAGAGCTAGGAGATATCTAAAAAGTGAAAATAATAGTTTACCCATAATGATCAAACGCTTTCCATCTAAAGTTCACTCAAGGAAACAAATATGCACAATCCTCAACTGCATTGTGAAAATGCTGACATCTTCAAAGAGATTGATCAGAAAAGCCAATCCATGTTATAATTATTCATAAATCTGCCCAACACGTGAAGATCCGAGTTAGGGCTGGTTGAAGACCCATGCTTGTCGTAAGGCGACTAACGGGATCGGGTGGTCAGGCTCACTGACTTGGTGGACACATGTCATCACATCCCAAATGAGTTAATCATTGTTCATGTTGTTGATCATTGGATTGTCTGGTCCACACTCAATTATTTACAAACCGCTGTAATATAGCTGGAATATTGCTGAGTGCAGCCTAAAACTAAACTCACTCACTCATAAATCTGCCCACAAGGATTATTATGTGACTTTCACTGTTTATTTTTTCTCTCAACTCATTGCTACAGTTTTGTGGACATAACGTATATTTCCAGAGACAAGTGTGACAAGTACAACTGTAACTTATGATGGACTTAAACAGTATATCATCTGTCAAAAGGAAAATTAGCCCCTGTTGCCCCTCCCATACCTAAAATGAAAGAGCTCCCTTAAATGTATATTACCCATCAAAAGTTTAGACTCACTTAAAGCACTCACTATTTGTTATGTATATATATGTGGTTACATCGAATATGAATGATGAAGGGAACCAACTGAAAACTTTATGCAGATGAATTGCACGAGGATCATGTATCAAATTGCTGAATAGCATGTGCAAATATCGTGCATGTCAACAGCTGCGTTTTGGTATAAAGTTTTTTAAGAATTTGCCAAGTTTCATCATTTATTGAACTCATGATAATAAACTTTTCAAAGTTACAAATTTGTTTTACAATACATCAGTTCATGTGTAAACAGTACCCTTAAACTGTATAGAATATTTTGCAAAATCTAGTTTAGATCAGTTGACTGAAGTAAGTGGCTACATTTACACTAGTGAGTCTAAACTTTTGATGGGGAGTATATATTAGCTTTAGTGGGGTGGTGGTTTTGAACTTGACAACATTAAATTGGAGCATCCTTGAGCTTTGACTATAATAATGCAGGGCAAAGCTGTACTTTATTACACTATACATAGGGGTAGAGCGAACTGTATTTCTTAATTCTCAGATTCAACAGGCGGAGCTTACGATGGTCTTGGTGTCCACATGTCCTGCTAAACACATTACATACACATGGACTTATGAATTTTCCGACAAATACAATACACCTAGTTAAAATTACAAAATTCTAATTTTGACTACCTCTTTTCAAAATCACTCAATATTTGCATTCTTTACGTATATCTCTGTGTATTCAGAGGCCCAGATAAGCTGCGTATCCGGGTAAAATACGCATATAAAATTTCCAATTACGCATTGAAAAATAATTGTTGCGTACCAATTACGCATTTAAAATGTTAGATATGCAAAAAGTTTAAAACAAATGCGTACGGAATATATTTATAAAACTCACTTGCGTAATGAAAAAGCCATCGATTGCTATCAAGTTGTACTGTTAGTATAGGACAAGTGCTGTACTGTCCATTTAGGATGAGTGATTTTTTATGAACTCATTTCCATTATATTTAAGTTGGTTTTGATTAGGTATGACATAGTCATAAGGCAGAACATACCTGCTTAGTAAACTTACTCAGTCACATAATACTTAGGTGAGTAAAATGACTGAATATGCACATGTTTGAAAGCAGTGGGTAACGGAAAATGAAATACCCACTCAACATTCATTATACCCACTCCAAAAAAATACAGTGGGTACTGTACCCACATGAGCTAAATCTTATCTGGAGCTCTGGTGTATATCTTTAAACTGTTTCTAAGATAACTGGCATATATCGAAATATTGGCAGACATTAACAACAACATTCACCAATGTTTCGCCGCATGTGAAAACTGCTGAAGCATCAAAAATCAATATCAGCATGCAGCTCCTAAATCATCCCTAATTAGATCTCTGTTTCTACTCTCTCTGCATCTTATTTCAACAACACTGGGAAAACAATTTTCCATTTGATAACAATTATCATTCGACAATTCTGCCATTAGCTTCTAATTTTCCGTGTTTTTATTCTAAAACCACTTTATCATTGTGACATCACCAAAGTCAGAACGACCTGATATACAGTTTTTGTACTGAATCATGAAGAATCGTGTGCACAGAGCCGTTTTAGCACTCCACTGGCGCCAATGTCCGCCTGATGGTATATGACCAGTTGAAGAAGAACCTATTCTTGAGTGCCAGATCTATGCCCTCATAGCCTACAGCAGGGCCACTTCCTCTCAAAAAAGTCAAATCGTGAGCTATCCTCCGTACAGAAAGGTCAAGGCCACATGGCTATAGCTTCCAGAGACAAGTGGAAAGACTTACACCTGACTGGTATTAATGTAGCTGCAATATGGCCGACAGATACGTACCATGGGTTTGTTCATACTGTCAGTAGCTTCTTTATGAAGTGAGTATTTTCAGGACTATGACTGTAGCTCACCTGGATATGTTTGTTTGTTTGTTGTTTAACGCCACACACAGCAATATTCCAGCTATATGGCAGCAGTCTGTAAAAAATCGCATCTGGACCAGACAATCCAATGGTCAACATCATGAGCATCAGTTGTCAAGTGTTTATTTCACTACAGAGTGTGTCATGAATGAGTGAGTCTGTATACTTCTGTTAACAATATTCCAACTATATTACAATATATGTACACAAGAAATAGACACCAAACATGGAAACCACTGTATGGGAAAACAAAACCCAGACTTAAACACAACAAGCAAACACTTGACCTGCTCGGCCACCCAACAACAACCTTAACACAAGTAAAAAATGCCCAACACAAGCAAACCCTATTCTATTTCCTCCACATTCGCCAAATAAAAACACCACTAATGTAAATGTCCTTTAAGTAATTCAGAGCCTAATATTCAACACACCTGTGACCAAACGAAATCCTATCACGTTCGAAAAGCCAACATCGCCACATGCAAGTCAGTGACCCCTCCCAACCGTCCGCCATAGTGATATTATTGTTTTCCTAATGGGAATATCCCAGCATCCCCTCTCTCCGTAAGTAACCTCAGCAGGAACGGAAGACTCAGGTGTTTTGCATATTCCCAGTAATTACAACCTTGGAAGGTCTTGGAGCCGAGATGCTGTATTCATGGTTGAAATGCAACCTTCGCCATTAGGTGAAAGTCGTACCATACTTGACTTGGCTAACAGATCCTAGCAGATGTGTTTACTGCAGGGAATTGGATTTGTTTATACTGATGAATCTTTCACACTGTTAAAATAACTGTTTAGAATGAAAACTCAGTTTTCCATAATGTCTTTAGGTGGTTTCACTTAGCCCTAATTCTGGGGGGCCATCTCAAAACATTCCCTGTGGTATTTATATAACCTGTTTTAATTGGGTTAAGGGTAATTCTCCAAATTCAATTAGGCCATGATGGGTTTTTTCATGTTCGTTGTCAGTATGTCAAAATGCAGGAAGTGAAGAAAAAAATCAAATGATGATTTGAAGGTAATTACAAAAAGTTTTTTTGTGTTTTCTTGTTTCCTCAAATCTAATTCACAAATAGTATTGACACTTGCCATAATTTGAGGAATTAAAAAAATATGAAAAGATACATTAACAATTTAACAAAAAGCACTTCTATTAATGATAAACAGATTTAATCAATTTATTTAACATTCGACTTCAGTATATTTGTGTGCTTATGGAGGAATAAACATAAAATCAGTATACCTACATAAAAAACAAGGATGTGGTCATTAACATTGCATGCATTGAGTGAGTGTGGTTTTACGCCACTTTTAGCAATATTCCTGCAATATCACAGTGGGGAACACCAGAAATGGGCTTCAAACATTGTACCCATGTGGGGAATCGAACCCAGGTCTTCAGCGTGACAAGCAAACGCTTTAACCACTAGGCTACCCCACTGCCCTGCAAGTCTTGCAATTTATCTCTAATATTAGAAGAGAAGTTTTAGAAGACGTAACCAACAAACATTGTTAAGGTGCTAAAAAACCTAGAACCAGTATCAGAGTGAACTGGTGAGTGAGTTGGGTTTTACACTGATTTCAGCAATATTCCAGCAACATCATAACAGGAAATACCAGAAATGGGCTTGACACATTGTGCCCATATAGAATCAAACCTAACCTTCGGTGTGATGATCGAACACTTTAACAACTAGGCTACCCCACCGCCTTTAAAGTGAACTTAAATTCGAGTGAGTGAGTTAGTTTTAGGCTGCTTTAAGCAATATTCCATCAATAGCATGGCGGGGGACACCAAAAATGGGCTTTTCACATTGTACCCATGAAGGGAATTGAAAATTGGTCTTCGGCTTTTACCACTAGGCTACCCCATCCACCATCATAGGTTCCAGGCATATTTACACAGTGATTTTCAGCATGTTATTTGACTGTGCCACCTGTGCTCTCTCAACAATAATTCAGGACAGGTTCATCAGTAAAACAGATAAGAAACTCATCTGGCCTTAAAATAAATTAAGAAATTGCAGATTTTTTTTCATAAAATAAACATACTTGATCACAGGTATAATGGTTATTGTGAAAATTTAATCTTGAAATCCATTACTGAAAAATTAATAAACAATTTTTCTTTCCCATGGGCAATGAAAAGCTAGTTATTGACACATCTGTCACCGAACTTCACAGCCGGTGGAGCCATTCTCGGACTGCAGCTCACATGGGACAGGTCTTCAATACATTATTTCAAGGTCATATTTAATATTTCATCTGCTCGCTGATGGGCCTGATGCTTCTCTACCTCATCTAAGTGAGCATTAAGGGGGCTCCAGGGAGCTTCTCCGAATCAAAAAGTGATGCTATTGTTTATTCCACAAGTTCCTCATCACTGACTTTTCAGAATATGCTGTGGATCATTTTTGTTTTGACATCTTTACAAAGCTTGACTCATCCCCTCTTGCAACATGCATGGAATCAATATACAGAGTCAGGGGAGGGTGATCAGCTTCGTCCATGGTCTCCCCTCGAACTGGTTGTGGGGAATGAGGAAAGGGATTCTGCCGTTATGCAGGTCATATTCTTTGGTTACGATATATCCAGAGATGCCAACCCTAATTTAGCCCAATTAGTATTTTGGCCACAAACTGATTCAAAATTGAGTATTTGTTGGCCAAAATTAGTATTAACTTTTCAAAAGAATTTTCATATTAAATAAAAAATATAAATATAGAGTCTAAGACCTTGTTATTAATGTTATACTCAACTAAATCAGTAGTAAGTATCCACATATAGCTTGATACTGAATATAATGTGATCAAAATTAATTGTGTATGGTACGTATGCTATTTAATAATTTAATTTAATGTATTTTTTTAAAATCGTATATTTTTACTGCTATCGTAGTCATGTATTTTGTGTTGTTTTTTCGTAAACGTATACGATAAATTCGTATGGGTTGGCATCTCTGTGTATCATATTGGTTGGTCAGTGTCTAACTGCTTCAGGGCAGCGGGTAGCCTAGTAGTTAATGTCGAAGACCTGAGTTCGATTCCCCACATGGATACAATGTGAAGTCCATTTCTGGTGTCCCCCGCCGTGATATTGCTGGAATATTGCTAAAAGCGGTGTAAAACATTACTCACTCACTCACTAATTGAAAGCATAAAACAAAAACTCCCTCACTCACACTAACTGCTTTATTTATCAACCAGCACATGGATGGGTCGGTCATCCAAAATTCTGCATTTTCCTTTGCAGAGTTACATCCCTTTGTCATGCAAGGATCTAAAGATGGTGGTTTGAATCCATGATTTAACTTGATTATGTTTTTTTTTATAGCAAAATGATTTGTCAGCAGTGATTATGTAATTTGTTTAATTACTTCCTCTACAGTTTCAGAAATACCCTTTGCAGAATTGTGCTGATCTATGAAATTCTTTAGTTATGACATCAATCAGGGTTTGGCACAGCCATTACCTAGGTCATTAGTCTAATAAACGTCTTCAACTAGGTGCCTTCCTGTTATGCAAGAAACAAGAGATGGATATCAACTGTGGCCTACGTGGAAATCCTGTTGGTTAGAAACCCCTGTTACTCAGGAAACCCTGTCAGTCAGGAAAGCCATTTAGCCCAGAAACCTGAAAGTGTGGAAACTACTTTCTGGAAAACTACTGTTAATGACATCATTAGAGTGAGTGAGTGATTTTTATGCCGCCGGACTCAGCAATATTCCAGCTATATGGCAGCGGTCTGTAAATAATCAAGTCTGGACCAGACAACCCAGTGATCAACAGCATGAGCATTGATCTATGCAGTAGGGATACGATGACATGTGTCAACCAAGTCTGTGAGCCTGACCACCTGATCCTGTTATTCACCTCTTACGACAAGCATGGGTTACTGAAGGTTCATTCTAACCCGGACCTTCACGGGTGACATCATTAGACATACAAGGGGACATAACTCCTACCCATGATATTTAAATCCAGACAGCTGTACTAACAATGATGTACAATGTGTCTAGACCTGTTAATGCTCATGAATATTTAAATCAGTATCTAATAGCACCAGATTGAAATGAATGTTTCCTGGAATGAAGGACTGGCACAAAATATCAAAAGATATTGTGCGACAACTGCAATTCATTTTTCCAGTGTGTTCGAAACATAACAAATCTTCCATACACACAGGTAACACAAGCACTAACGAACTGACTCACCTGAAACAGTGCAGCTGGCTGCTGTGGTTGAGTGCTGATGATTTATTATTGGGTATTTATGAATTATATGTGGGCGATGCTCCAGCACCATATTATTTGTTGAAGATGAATTTTTTAATGGTTCGATGATATATTTTTCTTGTGGTAGATGAATCATTCCCATCTGAAAAGAGAAAGAAAATAATTTTATCAAACAAATAAAACAAGTGCATCTAAATGCTACAACTGGAGAACATATTAACTGATCCAGTGGCATCTATGGTATTCAAACTCATCTGTAAGGATCTGTTTAAAAAACTGTAATAAGGTACTTGTAAACCTTTTTGGTACTATAGGTCTAATTGCCATCATGCAAATAAACTGTTTATCTGTCAAGAACGTTATTTTGTATTTAATCATTTTGTTTTGGTCACAATCAGATGAGACCAATTAAGGTGGCATAACAAAAAGGAAATATGCTTGTCTTGCAAAGCAGGCTAGAACAATTGTGCTAACCAACCATCCAACAGTACATGTTGCCGACTCAGCCCTTCACACCCTATTTTATATAATATTTTTTTAACCCACAGCCATGTAACATTATTTACCCCCCAACACACACACTCTCCCCATGACCACCTCCGTGGTGTAGTGGATAGAGCGTCCGCCCAGAGAGCGGAAGGTCGTGGGTTCGATCCCCGACAGTGTCATACCAAAAGACGTTAAAATATGGTACTTGTTGGTCCCTGCCTGGCGCTTGGCATCAATGGGTACAACAAGGACTGGTCGGCTCGGAGTCAGTATAATGTGTCTGAGTGGGGTATTCATGCTTCACTGCGGCATGGTATCTCAGTGGGCTAGCACTATAAAACCAGCTTCAGTCTGGGCTAGTACAAGCAGCCGCACATACACATACACAAGCATGCACGTCATCCTATGAGCGAAATACTCTCAAGCACAACGTTGAACCCAATTTCACCTCACCCCACTCTCCCCATAATTGAATGATACATCTTCGAGACCCCATCTATTCGCAGTGTTTTTCATGCCTTCACCCTGTCCCTAATATGATCAAACTGATCTATACATTATAGAGATAGAGGATACTAAACAACCTTCCGTATAATTTAGATAAACGAGTAAATGAATTGGTATCAAACGAGCGAGTTTGATACTAAATCTTTCACGAGTTTAATAAAAATGGTATTTCACAGAAGCGAGTTTAGTATTCTATTTATTACTCTCCAACAAACTGATAGAAACTGCCTACAGTGTGATGACTCTCATATCAATATTCCGCGAGTCAAGCAAGGTCTAATACCATTGCGACAGAGGCATTAGCATTGTGACGTCATAACTGTAACCATTATGACGTCATATGTCTAGCGGTATTACACTAGTGTAATATTGCCGTAAAAATATTACGCTGCAGTATCTTCCACGGGCGAGTAACAATCTTATATATTTAATTCTTTTGCTATTGATTTATTTGCAACATCCTGTTAGAGTTAACACTGTAGTGAAATCTAAATACTGAACATAATCCATGCATTCTATTCCTCCCCTTATAATGTTGAACAAGGAACAGATAAAGCGTGTCTTCGAGAAGAACCCATATTCAAAGGATGGTTGATTTGAGTGCTAATATTAGGTAGTATACTGAAACACTTGCTAATTAGTAACGGATGAAATGATGAAGTGTTCATCGGAAGCAGCAGTTTCACATAACTGCAGACCCCAAATCCCTATGCAACCTACTCATCAACAACACTGCATTCTTTCATGCATTTGTTTACACAAGGCCATATTGAAGTCTGACAGTAGGGTAATGAGTACATGAAAAGCCTCTCTACCGACATGGCAAGATGGCAGCTCTTTTAAACAAAACCAAGTAACAATTAACAACATCCTGTGTATCAGACCAACTACACTGATGCTTAGCCTCTGAAGAAATATAATCTTGATAGAAATGAATAATTAATTTCAAATTGAAAAGGAGCCCCAGTGAGATGAGAGATTCCTGAACCTGAATTTATTTGGGGCTTTAGCATTGCAGAAGGGAAAATGATGTTATTCAGTGACTGTGAAACAGGCTACAGAATAACTATCATGTCTGGTGAAGGATTTTAAAAATGAAAAAAATGTCCAGCATGTGCGGCAAAACATGAGTCAAATTATGGAATTTCTTCTTTTTTCAAAATTGTGATCAGGAAAATCATATTCAAACAAATGACATCAGATGTAGCAGATCCTAGCATGATAAGGGAAACAACTCTGCATTGCAACAGTGTGTGACCTTAGCCCCTGTCTGAAGTATGCCCTAACAGTTTCAAGGTTGAGATGTTGCTGGCAACAGTGAAAACCTCACTAACTCACTCGACCGCCTCCATGGTGTACCAGTTAGAGCATCCGCCCAGAGAGCAGAAGGTGGCGGGTTCGATCCTCGACCGCGTCATACCAAAACACGTTAAAATATGGTACTTGTTGGTCCCTGCCTGGCGTTCGGCATTAATGGGTACAACAAGGACTGGTCGGCTCGGAGTCAGTATAATGTGTCTGAGTGGGGTATTCATGCTTCACTGCGGCATGGTATCTCAGTGAGCTAGCACTATAAAACCAGCTTAAATCTGGGCTAGTACAAGCAGCCGCACATACACATACACACGCATGCACGTCGTCATATGAGCGAAATATTCACAAGCACGACACTAAACCCAATTTCACTTCACCTCACTAACTCACTCCACTAAATTTTATAAAGTTGTATACCACTGAAAACGCTAAAACAAATGTACTTGTATCTGTACGAGAACGTCTCAATGAAATGATAAAGAAGTTGAAGCCAACGCTGTCTCAACTCGAACGACCCATAAATCAAAGGCCCAACCATTTACGACTTTATCTATCATCTTATGAGCTGGAAGTGACCAATTTGTCAGAACAAAACAAGAAATTACATATTTCTTTACACCTACTCCACAGTTATTCATCTTCCTGTCAACACTCATGCTAAATACGCTTACATCGCTGACTGCATCAACCATGAACATCAGACAATACTCACAAAACGGGGAATCATTCTCACAATTCTTTTATCCAACTTCAACTTTGTAACAAATTGCTTCAACTTTGTAACAAATTGCTGCACAGCTCCTTTGAAGTTTACTTTGGAGTAAACAGCGATCCCCACATAACATTAGTCTTACTGCATACCAAGACTCAAATAACTTTCATTTTTCAAAAAAAAAAAATTATCATCCCCCTGTTCATTAATTAGTTTAAATCAAGTTCCACCTGTTGTTCATGCCAAGTTTTGAGGGAAGTAGCACAGGCATGCTTGGTATATCTGGACATTAGCTGTCAGGAAAACACTCTCCCATCTACAGATATCCCAAGATGCTCTTCATCATGTGATAGCAATCTAACCTTTGCACTTTCCATCAGTCCAGGTGAAAGATGAAATCATTCAACTGTTTTGCTGGGTTTTCTCTTCCTTTGTGGCAAGCTATCTGCCCTGAGATACATTCATCGCAGGCTTTCTCAGGGAAAATTAATATTTATCAAGTGGATCCTCACAGGAGGACATTGCATCTTTCAAGTACAAAGCGACCAGATGAAAGCTTTTCTTGTCAAATTAAGATCTTTCATTCGTGATGATAAGTATTACAAATATCTTTAAAGAGCATCTGTGAGTATCAGAACTATATCCACCATTGCTGTAGGCACTTTGGGACAGAGAACTATGAACATGTGACTGAAATCACAAATACTTTGAAGGTTTATCTGAAAAGGGTAAGAGTGTCAAAGTACAGAGACAGAAAGACATCAAGCCTGTCCTTTATCAGATGACACAGAAGTCCTCAATCTTATCTGATGCCTAATCGATCAATGAACAAGTAAAGATGATCTTTCGGAAGAGATTGCATGAATATGCAAAACATTTGTGAACAAGAGAGCTTTGTATGCAAATTATTCGAGCATCATATACGTCTATATCATATCCAGGATCCTGACATCATGATTAATCTCTTGAACATCACAGGACTTACTGAACAAAATACAAATGCATAGTATACGTCTGTCTTGACACAGACAGAACCTCAAACACATGGTCTTGTCATAGTGAATTATATTTTAAAAACCTAAAGAATTACTGAAAGCTCAGCCAGAATATGATGAACTATTCAAGATGAGAACAGGCAACTTTAACATTTTAGGACTTGAAATAAGTATAATCATCGATGAATGTCAAAAACCAACTCATTCCCACAAGTATAAACATCTGTCCTGTTTGGACACCTGTGAACACCTTCACCACCTTTCTCTATTACAACCTGTATGTGTGAACACCTCTTAACATTACCAAACAACTTTATCCTAACAAGCAATGCAATATGAACACCTGTAAACACCCCTGTGCAACAGAAGACCACTAGATTCCCACAGCCCATGTGAACACCTGTGAACACCTACAATTTGATCACTACAAGCCTGTTTGAACAGCGACCAGACATCTTAATCCCCACAAGCCTGTGTACAGCAGAAGACAACTAGATTCCCACAGCCCATGTGAACACCTATGAACACCTACAAGCTGATCCCTACAAGCCTGTGTGAACGGGACCAGACATCTTAATCCCCACACGCCTGTGTACAGTAGAAGACAACTAGATTCCCACAACCCATGTGAACACCTGTGAACACCTACAAGTTGATCCCTTCAAGCCTGTGTGAATGGGACCAGACATCTTAATCCCCACAAGCCTGTGTACAGTAGAAGACAACTAGATTCCCACAGTGAACCATGTGAACACCTGTGAACACCTACAAGCCTGATCCCTACAAGCCTGTGTGAACGGGACCAGACATCTTAATCCCCACAAGCCTGTGTACAGTAGAAGACAACTAGATTCCCACAGCCCATGTGAACACCTGTGAACACCTACAAGTTGATCCCTACAAGCCTGTGTGAATGGGACCAGACATCTTAATCCCCACAAGCCTGTGTACAGTAGAAGACAACTAGATTCCCACAGCCCATGTGAACACCTGTGAACACCTACAAGTTGATCCTTACAAGCCTGTGTGAATGGGACCAGACATCTTAATCCCCACAAGCCTGTGTACAGCAGAAGACAACTAGATTCCCACAGCCCATGTGAACACCTGTGAACACCTTACAAG